CTGTGCTTCCCTCCTCGGGACTGACGCTGTAGGTGGAATACCCGAAAGAAGAGAGGGATGGTCGCCCCTATCCTTAAGTAGCGACACGTCAGCTCAAACGCCCGGATGAAGGCGAGAGAGTTTGGGTGTAGCTGGGACGGGGCCAGCTCCAAATGCGTAAAGACCCCGGTCTCAAAGTCTGTGAACGCCAGCCGCAGCCCCAAGTCTTTAAACGCGATCTCGTACATCGCAAAGCTGTAGTCCGGGTACATTGAACAAATTCTGGCGTTGGTCGACGGCAGCATGACCACGAAATTCTGCTGGAAGTCGGGCTGGTCCTGCCCCTCTTCGATAGCGGTGAATGGATGTCGGTCATCCCGACTGTATATCGATGCCGTCCCCCGAGGCTCGGCGCCCACCCATTCCAGCGATGGGTCGGTCACGGTGTCTATAAGGTTGACCGACTCGTCGGCGCTCTGTTCTTCGCTGTCACGACGACCGGAGGAGCTCGGCTCATCCGCCATGGTTACCTGCAGAGCACGGGAAACCAATCAGATTGAGCATGAAGTCCTATGCTCGACATAATCATGTCGTCCATACACTACTACACAAGTCCATTTTCACAAGTGGATGCCTCCCCGACTCTCCTGAATCCAGTGTTCTTCCTCAAACCAACTGCGCGGCCACTCTTCAAGCATGTCGATCCGAGGTATGAACATGGCGAGCCGCATTATGAAGCCCACGGCCACGACCATAAACATACCGGGCACCGTCATGAATCAGGCGCCCAGGATCATGAAGACCCCGGGCAGCTCTGAAGTTTTTCACCTAAAACTATGAATGTGTCGGCCACAAGTATGCGTTTGCCGGCCCTAGACATGAATCTGTCGGGCAAAACGCAAGTTTACCGGGCTAACCCAACATTAACGGTCCTAAAACATCTACAATTTCCAAGAATCATGCATTCTAAAACAGGAAAATGAAGAAAATAGATCACTTACTTGGATCAAAGTTGGGATTTGGCTAAGAAATGAAGAATCTGAGACGGGAAGTCACGACTGGAGAGAGTGTTGAGAGCGGCAACGGAGAGAGCACGGAGAACGGAAAACGTATTATGGGACCCAAGGACCCTATTTATAGTGATGACGTGGAATACCAAACGTCACCTCGTTCAGCCACGGACTCCATCTCCTCGACGCACTGCTCCCAACGCAATGATGGCCCTACCCCCCTAGGGTGGCGGCACAACTCCCGAAAGATGCCTCGTGTGCTCGACTGACGCGCCCGGTACGGATCCTCCACGCATCCACCACCGAGGACGTCTCCGAGCACGGCACGAGGAGACCCCTCGAGGGTCCACGCCTCCATCCCGGGCACGAGACCTCAGCGACGGAACAACTTTGTTTCAAGTCATGGCTCCTCGCAAAGGAACCACGACTTGGGGGGCTCCTGTTCTGGACTGGGCCCGACAGGCCCAAAAGCATTACTAAGGCCCAGTCCAAAGGGACTCACTAAGGACCACACTGGGCAAAGGGGGTCACGTCCATGCCCGACACCCTGATGTCCACCTCGACATCTCGGTGTCCAGCCCCACGATGAAGTCATGCTCGACAGCCTGCCGTCCAGCTCTATGTCCTGGCTTCCAGCTCGACACTCGCTGTCCAGCTCGAGGTCTTGGCGTCGAGCTCGGCACCGTGCTGCGCAGCTCGACATGGTCTCGAGCTAACTTGCTAGGGCAGACTTAGTCCTCCATTGCCCCAATGATACTCCGGAAAGACCGCGTCTCCGTCCGCCCGCATTTCATGCAGCATATCCAGGAAGGGGACCACGTGCTGGTCCCCACTACCCACGTAGAACCTGGCAGTTCCTCCATTGGGCCAAATCCGCCCGGCCCAATGAAGGAACCTTGGCCCAGCGCTGGGGGCTATAAATACCCTCTGCTTCCAGAGGGTCAGGTATTCATCATTCTAACCTCAACTCTATTATCTGCTAGTACTCCCACTGACTTTAGCATCGGAGTGCCTTGCAGGTACCCCCCCCCCCCCCTCCTCGTTCAAAAAGCCTTCAGCTCGGAGTAAGCCGTGACGGTCCAAACCTTCTGATCAGGTCAGATCACAGACAATACAATTTTGATAGCACTTTACGAAAAAACGCTATTATTAAACTTCAGTATGACAGCGCTTTCTACAAAACACTATTAATATTATAAAATAAGATAAATTTTTTGTCAAAACACTATTAATATTAATCACTAAGATAGCACTTTCGTCAAAACGCTATTAATATTATTCAATAGACTAACACTTTTATTAAAGGCTATTACTGTACTATCCTATGTTAGCATTTATACAAAAGTATTATTGTTTTCATAATATATAATTAATAAAATACTACATATTTGAACAATAATAGCACATATTAAATAGCATTTATATGTATAACGCTGTTAAATATATCATTTTAGATTCACAAACTGTGACAAATCGTAAAAAAAGTGATTATTATCAATAACACTGTATGAATGGTCAGGGGGGAAAATATGTGTCCAGAAAAAGCAAGTCGTTAAATTTTCTTTTTGAAATTGACAAATAATTGTGCTTCTTGTGAGAGAATAGTAAGAATTGAATAAAGGGCAAAACACATGGAGAATCATTTCAGAGTTATATTGAGACCATATATTGGGGACATGAAATCTGAATTAGTACCATGAAAATGCCTGTGCTTCAAGTATAGTGTACACCATAATTAATGAGCTTTTTTATTTTAGCTATTTTTGTTATATATATATATATATATATATATATATATATATATATATATATATATATATATATATATATATATATATATATATATATATATATATATATATATATATATATATATATATATATATATATATATATATATATATATATATAGGCTAATACTAGTTATACATAGGCCATGGGAAATTTGGCAATATATTATAACCTATCTTAGTATCTATTTATGTCAATTGTTTTTATCTATCGTAATGGTAGTTTGGTTTACGCATAGTGGTTTTGTTCTAATGCAACACTGTTAAATATTCAATATAGCACCGGAATACCAGTATTGCATATTCAAATTTTAGCTATTCGATACGAAAGTCGGTATTGCATTTCGATTTCATGACGCTCAGAATATCGACGTTTTTCGATAATATTGGAACCAATATTACATTTTTTTCTATAATAAGTCATCAACACATTAAAGAGTAGAACAATAAAAAAAAAAAATCGCGAACAAATGGAACATTAAAAAAAATAAAACGTGAGGAGGTGTGTGCTACGGAGTCGTATGGGTATTTTATATTGATTTTGATGCAGAATTTCTTTTTCAAATCAGCTTCAATATTTTGTTAATCTTCTCTTGATTTATTAGTGTTTTGTTTCAAAGTTCTATCAAATATGTGTTTTATAATAGCACTTTGTTTGAAAGTGCTATCAAAATGAAATCAGAAAATATAATATAAAGCACAAAATGTCTACTTCAATAGCACTTAAAAATATAACGCTATTAAAAAACCAAAACTTTAATAACGCTTTTAAAGTGCTATTAAACAAAAAAAACGTTTACAATAGCGGTACGGTTAAGAGCGCTTTTAAGCGCTATAAAAAATAAACAATAACGCTATTAAATAGCTTTTTTGGCGTAGTGGATCTTGCATTCCTGCATCTCTAGCCTTTACGCGACCTAACATAAAAATTTTAATTTTCTGGAAAGTCAACTCTGAATTAAAATTTACCATGTCAATTCATTAAAAAAAATCAGGATCAAAATCTATTATTTTGGAACAAAATATTGGACCCCACCTTAATAATCCTAAATTTCTTGTTTTTCTATTTTATTTGATTTATTTTTCATTTTCATATTTTCGAAAAAATCTGAAAAAATTTGTAGACATTTAATTTTTTTATTTTTAGTTATATATTTAAATTTTTATAATAGAGTAAAATTCAGATATGCATATCCGAAACCACTTTTTACATAAAAAAAAAAAAGGTGTATCTCGAAATGTATATCCGAAAATATTTTTTTCATAATTTTTTATGGAATAAGGGTACGCTCAAATAGATATATTCGAAATTTTTTTTGAGTATTTTGAGTTTTTTTGTGAGAGGTCTCAAAGAATAGTAGTAGATATAAATTTTTTTTCCAAATTGATAACTTTTACTATACTTCAATGGGGTTTTCTTACTTTTTATTAATATGTCATTTTTCTATTAAAATTAAACAGCCACTCATCAAAAAATTAAGACCAATCTCTCTCCCATGAACATTCTCTTTTTGTGGATTTATAGTGGAGCAAATATTCTCTCAATGTTCTTGATGTATAAACTTGTTTTTTGTTTTTTTATAAAAAATATGAGAAAATAAGTAATGTATTGACATTATAAAATAGTTGTACAATGTCAATCAATCATAATCATATATTCAATTATAACTCACTTTTATTTTAATTTTTTATAATAATATAATAGTTGTTAATTTTCTATTTGTTGATTGTGTAAAAGAATTTTACTCTTACGCTGGATGAATATTATTTTCAAAACTTATTGTATTTATGGATTTGAAAGAATAATAATAGTACATATGATAAATATTTGTTGAAAGGAGTCATTGTACTCAATTGTTTTTCAATTGAATTTTTGTCACGCACATTAATCCGAAGCATAATTAAAAGGATCTTCAACATTGATTACCCTCAGCAATGTGAAATAATTAACATAATGCAGAAGATATAATATGAAATAAGGTAGTCTTAGGTCAATTGTGTAATTACACAATGTGAAATATGTAACGAAATTAATATATTTAATAGATAATCAAGAAGAGACGCTGTTAGACTAAAAAATTTTAAGAGAGAATGAGTTTTTCAAATCGATGCCAAATATTATTATTATCATAGATTATAAATATAAATTATTTTCTTCTTGGTAGTTTGGCTTCACATACATCTTCAACAAATATTTATAGTAAACTGTTGACTTTGTTGCTTAGTTGTTTAGAGGAGGAGGTGGACTAGGATGTGTCCTGGGTGGTGTATAGTCGATGTTAAATTCAGAACTTTCTTTGATTACTTCATTATTCTCACCATGAGGAGGAGGAGATGGAGTAGGATGCGTTCTAGGTGGAGTATAATCGATGTTAAATTCAGAGCTTTCTTCACTTATTTCATCATTCTCACCATGAGGAGGAGGAGATGGAATAGGATGCGTCCTAGGTGGTGTATAGTCGATGATTAATTCAGAGTTTTCTTCACTTTCTTCATTATTCTCACCATGAGGAGGAGGAGATGGAGGAGGATGCGTTCTAGGTGGTGTATAATCGATGTTAAATTCAGAGCTTTCTTCACTTACTTCATCATTCTCACCATGAGGAGGAGGAGATGGAATAGGATGCGTCCTAGGTGGTGTATAGTCGATATAAAATTCAGAACTTTCTTCAATTACTTCATTTTTATCACCGACAGGAGGAGGAGAAGGAGGTGGATGTGTCCTAGGTGGTGTATAATCAATGTTAAATTCAAAACCTTCTTCAGTTACTTCATTTTTCTCATTAGCTTTGAGCACTCGAAAATGATTTGGCAAAAATTTGAAACCACTTACATCATTGGTCTGAAGAAAAATAAAAAGGTTACAAGGCACATAACAATAAAAAGGTTATGAGAATCATAATGATACATTTGTTACAACATACAACGGTCATATTAAATCACAAATATTAAATCAATGCATGATGCAATTCATTTATAAGAATTTGATCATACACCTTCAAGAAATTAAGATCTAAATAACTACTATTAAGATTTAGGGTTTAAATATCTTATACCACTGTTAAATTTAAATTTTTAAATTTTTATAAAAGTAAACTATATATACACTCGTGTCATACTCTCAAAGATTAGGGCAAACCTTAATAGAGACTTGTGGTTTGTTCACCAACTTGATATCTTTATTAGTGATGCTAAGAAGCCGGGCACTGCAATATGCATTGGAGAAAATCCCCAGAAAGAGAAAAAGGTATACGATTGTCATTCTCTAACAGAAAGATAGTATACACTTTTGTGTTATGAGAATAAATGTAGTAAAAAATTTAGGAGTATTTATAGACACAAAAATAAACGAGCACTAAATAAAATAATAAATTTTATATAAAATATTTTAATCAGAATAACAAATTTAAATAATTATTGTTAAATATATTCAAATTCTATTTTTTCTTCTATAATTAAAAGAAAAACTATTAAGACTAACGATCCATGTTATTATTTTTCTAAAAGTAGTGAAATACTGTATAACAACATACATAAATTTCATATAATTACTATAATTTTTCAGGGGTTGAACCCTTCACAACTCTCAAACGTAATAATTATTAAAAAAATATTTATATTATTATATAATAGTATTATAATTAAAAATATATAATTGTTGTGAGGGATTCAATCTCCGATAAAATATATATATATATATATATATATATATAAAATATCACTGCATAACAACATAAATATTTACGAGGGCAGTCTCTATGGCAAAGTACTATTAAATTAATTTTTTATTTTATATGTTGTGAGAGGTTGATCACCATGTAATAAATTTAGTAATAAATTTAGTGAAGAGTTTATCTCTTAAAAAAAAAACTTGACTAAATAAAGATTTTGTTGAAGTGGGTACAATTTACCACTATTATATAAAAAACCAATATATTATTTTATACCAGGTATATATTGTTTTAACTCACTATATTTATATATAAAAAACCATAGTTACGATACATCATACTTAGAATATTTAAGAATTATACTTAGAATATTTAAGAATTATTTTTTACAAAGTATAATGTTTAAATTTACTATATTATTACGGCTCATGTCATTACTTTAAAAATCAGATCAAATCGATTTGATTAGATTGACCGAATTGAGAATCAAAAGGTTATCAATTTGATTTGATTGTTAAATTGAGTATAATATTAAACTAATAGGAATTGGTCAAAATATATGAATTGGAGATTTTGAAAAACTGTTAGGTTAAATGGATGTTTTTTTTTCTCGAACAAAACAATGTCATTTTAAAAAAATAAATAATTAAAATATAATAAATTATATTCAAAACTTATTTGAAATAATTTTTTTTAGATAGACATTTAAAATTTATTTGAATTTATATTTTGTACTATTTTGTGTCATAATTATATTTAAAATTTTAATTTAAAGAGTTAACATATGAAATTATGATATTTTGAAATTTGTTGATATAAGATAATTTTTATAGATTGAATTATTCTGTTCGACCAATTTAAGAAATATATAATTTTATTATTTAGTCAAGTTTATTAGGCTGAATTATCTAATTTAATAAAATTTATTCATGTAGTTCGACTAATAACTCAGTAGTTCGATCAATAAATCAATAACACGTTACCCTCATCCATTTGATACCGATTTAATTTTTAAAACATTGAATATTCCACCTTTTTGGAATAATACTATTGTAATAATAGTGGGTAGTACAAACAAAAATTAGGAAATGATTAATTAATTAGATTGTAATTTTTAATTAGAAGATTTGAAATCTTTAGTTGGTATTTTTGCACATTTTTTATACTATCAATAAATTTCCTTTTCTAAAAATATTTACATAATATTCTCTCAGTTTCTGTTTATATATATAATAAATAGAAAGAAAAATTAATTTCTAAATATAATTATATTCTCTTATAAATTAATGAATAAAATTATTATTTTCCAAACATAACAATAATTAATTTATTAATACTTTAGAACATAAAAAATTAAGAGTTAAAGAAAATGGTTGTCTATTATATTAAGTTTGTCGGAAGTCGTTTTATTAAGTTATTTGGTCCATATTAAAAAATTGCATTTCAGATAAATTAAAGGTCAATTATACGATGATTATAACAAAAATGAATTTAAACGATAGTTAAAAACTGTCGCATAAAGTAACGAAAACCGTTGCTTAAATTTAAACTATGGTAAACAATAGTCTTGTATATAATTTTCTAATCAAACAATTTCACTTTCGGCAACATTTTTAACCGTGATCTTTTACTTTTGACTACGATTCTTTAATGTGGTCTATTATGTTGAAAAAAAGAAAATTATCAAATAATTTATAACCATGTTATCCGGTGAACAATATGGTAACTATCAAAACACTTATAACCAAGTTATCTTATGAATAACATGGTAAAATTCTCACTAATAATATGACGATCATGGTAAGGTCTCCTGATTAATAATTTGTTCGTCGTGGTGAGATTGAATAAACCACTTCATGGATTAGATCGATCCTAGCAGCCTAAAACTAATAAGGAGATTTAACCTATGCTGATAGTACAATTATGATTAATTGTCAACAATATGACAATAAAACCAAATTTCAATCTCCATTAAGAGTGAAATTCAAAAATGGGGATGTTTGACAGTTATGAGAGCACCTTTGTTTCTAGCAACGATAATGACTCTCTTTCTTCTCGTTATTTCATAGAAAATTCTGAGCATTTAAGGGAAACCAACACTCCCAACCACACGAGCTTCAAAGAATGTGAGACAAACTATATATGTGTCAATAGGGTTTCCTTTATTTGGAGGCACATTAGCCTGTCTAGAATGCACAATGAGGGTAATATCGTTTTATATCCATATTCTAATGAGGAACAAGGCAACATTATTGTTGCATCTGACTTGACCAAACCCTTATTCTACTTGCATCTCCCTATTGTCTAAGATTTAGGGGTTTTATTTCCTTCTACATTATTTGAATCATAGGTTTTGACGACTACAAATGTTGCTCCCATTAAGATTTCACCAAATGATTAGGACTTTATTAGAGCTTTTGAGATCATATGTCGGAAATTGGATGTCAAACCTACCCTAAAGATTTTGTTTTCTTTCTATGGTACCAGACCAGATTGAGAGGGGGCTAAAGGTGTGTGTGTTTGTGTGTGTGTGTGTGTGCGCGTGTGTGTTAAAAGATCTTGTAGATTTCCATCTGACAGTTCCTAGGGAGCAGTCAACCCTAATTAAATCTACTTAAAGGGTGTGGTCATTTCATCTTTAAGAGGTACTATAACCTTCTATATGGAAAATTTCTTCAGAAAAAATATTTTACTTGATTTATGGTAATACTAATCTAGTACGATGTTATGGTGTGACCACTTCATAACTCTCCTTAGTTGTGTCATAATACAAATGTCACGATCTGACAACAATCATGATTTTCCGACTATAAAAAGACATACAAATAATAAAATATCTAATGTAACATCCTATTTCCCCGTTAGTGAATTATATAAAAATCAGAGTAAATTAATTTCTAAAATACAACATCAAAATAGGATGTCACATGCTTCATACATCATACATGCTCATTATATAAGATACGCAACACAATTCATATGTTTAAAAGTCTTAAGCTTCCTTTCATTTGTTCGCAGCGGAAAAACATCAATAAAAATCATCTCAATTCTCCAACCGGAGTCATAATTATCATCTTTCAAAATTCTGCATAGTCGTAAATTAAACTCAAACAATGGAGTAGTGAAAAGTTCACTTCCAATGAAATAAAATAAATGCAAAACCCCCAAGTGTTATGTATCAGAGCAGACACCGACTCAATCTACACAAAACTGAAGGAACTCTTCAGCTGACCTCGACCTTGAGCTACTTTGGATCATCTGCACGTTACCCACGTAGAGCAACATTCCAACAAAAAGGATGGGATATCATAAAAAATAAGAAGAAGAAGAATAATGAGCAGGTAGAAAATTCAAGTACACATCATTATATATCTTTGCCTCACACCTTTTGTTGTTCATCATACTACAAACATAAGTCATAAACAACACAAAATATCCATCATAACAAAAGTAGAAATTCATTCAACACTCAAATAATCAATTAATAACAATCATGCAATGCAGTGATACTGACAGTGACTCAATGCATGTGGTACCAATAGGGCAAAACCCTCAACTCAATAAATTCCAACTTGGAATAACAATGTCAATACAAGCCATCTTTCGCCAATACAAGCCATCTTTCGTCAATACAAGTCATCTTTAATGAATGCATGCGATGCTAATATACAATAACACAAATTTACATTGATTACTTTTAATTATCAATGATATGCCAATACAGGTCATCATCATCATCACGTATATCATGTCACACAATTAAAATATTCGTACAACGTCATCTTAATCATTCACAACATAATTTATGGCATATTACTCAGGAATACACATAAATAGGTATCGATTTCCGTGAAATAATTAGCTACTGAGTTATAATTTATTTTTAGAAAATAGAAAATGATTTTTTCTTTTCAAGGGTCCAAACGGCGTGTCAAACGGACATCCGAGATGAAAGTTATGAAGATTACAATTTTCCAAAATTCTGTCCAATACAGTGGTAACCGATTACCCTCTAGTGGTATCCTATTACTATAAAGTCAGTAACTATGTATTTTCAAAATTTCTCGCGGTAACCAGTTATCCTCTTATGGTAACTAGTTACAGCATATTACAGTAGCCTCTATTTTCCAATTTTTTATGTGGTAACCGGTTACCATAACTGGGTAATCCGTTACCCTGTGATAACAGTAAAAAATATGCAACTTTTCAAATACGGATTTTTCATGCTTCAAAGCCTAAACTCTCGAATTTTCAACCAAAATAGTGTTTTAAAAACATGCTAATTATTCACCAACATCTGTCTATCGTTTCTAACCAAAACACATCAATAAATTCACAATCAATCATCCAAAATGCATCAAAATTCATCAATGAGAGAAAACCCCAAAACACCAATTAGAGAGAAAATCAAAACATACAACAAAGAAACCAAAATTCTACCATACCCCATCATTAGGAAACCCATTATAGTGTTAGAATCCTCCCTTACCTTAGATTTTTGGTCGGTTCTTGATTCCTACGGTGAATCTTCTTGCCCTAGCTTCCTAGTGCTCTTCTCCTATTCTCACTTCTACGTTTCTCTTCTATTTTT